CACAAAATAAGACTAAGCTTCCATCCACTTAGTGAAATAGTCGATCGCTACCAAGATGAATTCATGTCCATTTGAGCCCTTTGGCGAGACTGCCCCAATGATGTCAATTCCTCAAACTGAGAAAGGTCGTGGTGAAGACATGTTGTAAAGGTTTGACAGTGGTATGTTCATGCGATTAGCATGAATTCAACATTTGTGGCATCACCGAACAAAGTTGATACAATCCTCCTCCATAGTTGACCAATAATAGCCTTGTCTAAGGATCTTCCTAGCCAGCATCACACCATTCATGTGTGCTCCACACTTTCCCCCATGAATGGCCTCCATGAGACTCTTGGATTCCTCTTTTTCAAAGTAGAGCGCGTGCATTCCTAGATGGCCTCTCTTGTATAGCTTATCCCCGCAGATGACGAACTAGATGGCCAGATGCCGTATTCCCCATTTATCCTTAGCATTTGCCCTTAGTGAATACGTATTCTTCTCCAAAAAATTCCAAATGTTGTAATACCAAGGGTTCTTGCCTTAAACCTCATCTATTGTGGCAATGGTCTCATAAGCAGACGTATATTTCTGTTCAATGATGATCAGATGCATCTTTACTCCAAGCGGTATGTCTACCATGCAAGCACATCAGCAAACCAATTGTTCTCTCTCAGCAGATGTGTGAATGTCAGTTTTTCAAACCTCAGAATTAGAATATCTAGGATCTGATGATAAACCTTTATGTTCTCTTCCTTGACCTTCCAATCCCTGTCAGCTTGAGAAACAACCAGGTTCGAGTCTCAATGACATCCAACCTTATTGCCTCTAGTTCTAGAGCAGCTTTCAATCCAGTGATACATGCCTCATATTCTATTTCTTTGTTGGACACCCTGAACTGGAGTTTGAAAGCTAAGTGTATGTGGGAATTATCGGGTGCTATGAGTAACACTCCTATCTTATAACCGCATTGATTAGCGGCTTCGTCAAAGTACATTGTCTATGTTTCCTCTTTTATCTATAGAATGTCTTCATCTGGGAATAGATACTCTATTGCCTCGTCTCTGTCCACTTGGTGGTCTGCCAAAAATTCCGCTACCACTCTCCCTTTGATTGATTTGTGCATGACAAACTTTAAGGTCAAACTCGGAGAGAAGAATCAACCAACGAGCCAGCCTACTTGTAAGTGCTAGTTTCTCAAAGAGATATTTGATAAGATCTAATCTAGTAGCCCATACCAAAGCTAAGTAGGCTTTCTCTAGGGGAGTGTAATGGGTCTTATAATCTAGTATCTTCTTGCTCAAATAGTAGATGGCCTTCTCCACCTTAGCTTCTAATTCTTGAGCTAGGATGCACCCCATGGTTGAATTTGTTACCGACAGGTACAAGATCAGTGGCTTCTCTTGCTCTGGCGGTAACAATACAAGTGGATTCTGGAGGTACTACTTGACCTATTCAAAGGCAAACTGACATCGATCATCCCATTGGAACTTCTTCCCTTTCTTTAAGAGACCAAACAGTAGTTCACAAGTCAAGGTTAGTTTTGAGATAAATCGTCTTATGAATTGCACTTTGCCTAGAAAACCGCGCACCTCCTTTTCAATCATTGGTGGTGGCATTTCTAAGATGGCCTTAATCTTGGATGGATATACTGCAATTCCCCTCTGCGTAATCAGAAATCCCAGCATTTTCGTTGCAGTCATCCCAAAGGTGCATTTCTATGGGTTCAACCTCAGTCTATACACCTGTAGACAGCCCATTTTTGACCGCCCTCATGACTTGGGCACCACTGCTTGCATACCCAATGATGAATTTGTATATGCTTGTCAAGTGCTCGAAGTCCTCAGTGAAATGCCACAGCTTTGAGCCTTCAAACCCTACACACTTTTTGTCTTATTTTGGACCAAAACAATAGGTTTTCAAGCCTAAACACCCTTTGGGCTGCAGGCCATTGGTGTGGCTTACCAACCAACATTAGTTGCCTGTCGACCACTTGTGTGTTTTTGTAGATATTTTGGCCAGTTGTGCCAGTTGTTTTCACAGATGCATGCACCTGCCTAAGCGTGTATTGATATTTCTGAGGGAGTTTCATGTTTTCCTATATATAGAAGACCTTTCCTTCTATTTTTGAGGGATGGAAATTTTGGAGCAAAATTATCTCTCTCTCTCTATAATTCCCTCTCTCTCTTGCAAGTGCTTAAGCTTTTCCCTATACACTCTAAACCAAACCTTGTGGTGTTGGAGCTGAGGTATTTTTGAGCTTACTTTGAGCTCTTGAGGGTGTGTAATTTTTGGTTTGTCACTTAGAAAGGGTTCTCCTTTTCAAGGGGTATAAGTCTTTGCTTATTTCTTTGCTTTATTTGCTATTTTGCCTACTATTTTTAGACTATTTTTGGGCTATTTATACTATGTATTTTTGGGCTGAAACTTGTGGTTTAAGGCCACTAGGGGTGGTGTAATAACCCGACCCTCTTATATGTTTTCTGGTATGCTTTCGGTCTCTTATTATGTGTATTTATCTGGTTAATGTGAAATTCCATGTGGAATTAAGTTTAATTGTGTGAATTATATGATTATGGATTTACATCTGTCAATTATGAGAAATATCTGTTATAATTGTGATGTTTGGATCAGTAATTGAAAGCCTTGGAAGCTTGATAATCCGAAATTAACTTTAAAATTGTAATAAGCATGATTTTTAGATCATAATATGAATTTTTGTAAAAATTTGATTCGTAATGATTAAACTAATTAATTTTTTTTTAGTCAACTCTTATATAACACTTTTAAACCCTTACTTGGCTCTACACATAAAAATATCTCTGAGAGAAGGAGAGAGTTAGAGAGGGAGAGAAAGCTTAACAAGGAAGAAGATTGGGGTATTGAGAGGGATTGTAGAGATTTGAGCCCAAGGTATTATGATCCACCTGAATAACCTCTTTCCTTGACTTGAATAAGATTTCCTTTTCATTTGTGTGAACTAGGGTTTATGATTGAAGTTTTGTGTTGACAATTGGCTAATTGGAAGGTGCTCCTACACTTAGATATTTTGAGTTAAGTTAAGCTATTTGGAGTGGGATTACACATTAACTATCCTTTAATTTCCATGTTTGAACTCATCTATGTAGTTAGATGGCTATATTATATATATGTGTGTGAAAAAACCAATTATAGTTAGAAACATAAAGGAATTGAATTTGATTATGAATTCGAGCTGAATAAGGACCTAATTGGGTGTGTGATTCATGTCTCTTACGATACTAATGTCCAAATATTGCATTGGATTTCCCTACTTTTGGCTCTGCAATGTGATTGCTTTGCTGAATTTTTGCCTTGCTTCGGATTACACAAAACAGGGGCTGCAACCGCATGTGGGGCTCATGGCCGCACGTGCGCGGAGCCACCACCGCACGTGCGGGGCTCACAGCCCGTACGTAACGAAACAGGGAATTGAAGCTTAGATTCCTAAAATAAATGCACGTGGGGAGGCACGTAGGCCCATCTTCCCCGCACGTGGGCGA